TCCCGCCGTTAAATATCAAAATTCTTTTATTAACGCAAAAGGAACAATACAATTGTTTTAATCAAAATATTTTATGTTTACATCTATACTACTTTTTGCCATCTTTCAAACAGCATACGAATGCCGTGGCGAAAGAATCTCTCTTGACGCAATGAATGTCGATCCATTTTATAACATCTGCTTTATTTTGAAAATACGTTTTGGAGACACTGTGCTGCATCGATCGGAATAAGTGATAATCAGACGGCGCAATGTCTGGAGAGTACGCAAGGTGGGGAAAGATTCCCCATTCAAGATTATTCAGCGCTTGTTTGACTTTATGAACAATATGAGGCCTTTCATTATCGTGAAGCAGCAAATGGACTACGTCATTTTGAAGCAACTTCCGATCGCTTCTTTTGAATTTCTTGACTCAATCCTTGACTGATTTTTTAATCAGTTTTTTTGGGTAATTATGCAGAGTAGGGCTTTTTCCAAATTTTTCGGCTGCAAAGTTGATAATAATCTTTGTTATGATTCTAATAGTGATAATAAGGGGGGGAGGTCGAAAATAAAAACAATAATTTTCTTTGTAAGTTATATATTGTAGCGGATAGCGGCATACGACTTTTCACGCAAAGCGTGGAAAATAAATGAGTGGTGAAGGATCACATTGGAATTATATATCATTTTAATGAAATGAAGCATGAATTTGTCAAATTACAATGCCTGGCTTTGTAGCAGATTATTGCATAAACTCATTTCCGATTTTGCCTCATTCGCGCTCTGTCGTACTAGCTCTTACTTGAGGTACTATATGGCCGCTATTTCATTTGTGCGTTTTTGTTATACGACAAATGTGTGTAGGACAGAGAAATCCTCGGATCTCGCTATCCTATAGCTAATTGACAGGCTCGAAAAATTTGTCGTACGACAAAAACGCTTAAATAAAATAGTGGCCTTTTAATATACCCTGTATAGATTTTTAAATGCTGAAAACGATGCCGCAAACGAAAAATTCTAGCACGTCAGATTTTCAAGATAATTGAGGTTTAATACTTAAAAAATGGCTTTTTTGCGATATTTGACATTTTTTAATAAAGAAGATTAACGTTATCTTGAAATTTCGATCAGGAGTCAGGAGAATGTATTGTTCATCTCCTATAAAATACATTTTTTTTTATTTCAATACCTTACTTTTTAGCCATATTATGAACGATTAAAGATAAGAACTATTTCGAATATGAGGACCGCGGCAGCGTCATATGCGCATGCGGTAACGCTAAAATCATTTTAAAACAACAACAACGCGCATACACACACACACACACACACATAGAGAGAGAGGGGGGGAGAAAGAGAGAAAGGGGAGGGGAGAAAGAGGCGAGAGAGAGAGAGAGAGTTGTTTTATGAAAGATATGTAGTTGCATATTACTAATCGCATTTTTTTTTTTAAGCAACGATGTATTTTTATTACACCAGTGAATTAGTCTCATAATTCTGTGCATAAAAGTATTAAGGTACAGTTATCAAAATGTGACCCTAAGAAATTAATCCGCATACACATATGACGCTGCCAGAGTCACCATATTCAAAATAGCTCCTATCTTTAATCGTTCATAACATGGCTAAAAAGTAAGGTATTGAAAAAAAAATACATTTTATAGGGGATGCACAATATATTCATGACTCCTGATCGAAATTTCAAGATAACGTTAACCTTCTTTATTAAAAAATGTCAAATATCGTAAAAAAAGCTTTTCTAAGTATTTATTAAACCTCAATTATCTTGGAAATCCGACGTGCTAGAATTTTTTCACTTGCGACATTGTTTTCAGCATCCAAAGATCTATAAAAGAAACGGTCCAAAGTAATTTTTTGTTGTAAACTAATGTAATTATTCCTAAACCTCTTATAAACGTTGTTGTTCTACTTGGGTTGTTTCTTATGTATTAATATTAAAATATTAAGGTAGAGATATTAAAAAACCAATAGTTTACGAGAAAACACATTAAAAATTTATACAATGTGCTTACAATGTGCAACTACGTATGTTTTTAAATATCAACTGTGTGTTTTTTTTTCATACCAAGTGATTCATCTTATTATTTTGTGTAAAAATATTAGGGTACAGTTGCCAAAAAATTAATAGTTTACGAGATATTTTACGTTTTATGTCAAAATGTGTCGAAATAAAATATGAAATATCTCTATAAACTATTGGTTTTTTAATATCTCTATCTTAATACTTTTATAAGCAGAATAATTAATGGAATCATACTATGTAAAAAAAATCACATGATTCCATTTAAAAAAAGTGAAGGTGACCGTCACATCTTTTTGGAATCTCCACCTAGAAAAAAAACAACGTGACCAAAATATGTCCCCAAAACCGTTCCACTTTCATCTGAAACATACTTTAATATCATCAAAGATAAGCGAAATATTCAAGATGTTCGATTTAAGTGGAGCATCCTGTATAGAATTTGTTGTTATTCCTTTTGTGTATCTTGTTCCTATTTTCGTTAGTTATTTTATTGGCTTTTGTCAATATCTTTTTATTTGTTTTAACTATTATTGACATACTGACAAATTTTCTTTTTTTACAGCAAATAAATAGCGAATTTCGAAGTAGTCTTGACCCGTCAATTGTTAAATCTGACAAACCTCAAAATCGCAGATCAATACTACCTATACAAAATACCACGCCAATAGGTTTATTCCAACCAATACCGCAAGAAGTAATTCGTTTAGAAAATGAGACCGCCCAAGCTATTTTAGAAAAACGAAAACCTGACAACATCAGGCAATTTTTGGATACCTTCTTGACACCAAAGCCACTCGTTGATCGAATTAAGGATGAAGAAAAATATGGTAATAGGGGAGACAAATATATTGAAATCGGAAAGGCTTTCATTAACGGTTATGAGAATTTCAGCAATTTTTTGAATAACTTAGTGGAGGTAAGTACATTAAAATGTAATTCTAATATACACAATAAATTAAATTAAATTAAATTAAACAACAGTAAATAAGTATTAAATTAAACAACAGTATAATAATCTATTAATACAGTAAATAAGATAACTGAACCTTGCCTAAGCTGTAATTTTTTGCTAAATACAAAATTAAAAATTGGTGATCAGATTTCACAAAGACAATATTTCAATTAAAGAAAATATTTTTTAATATTTACATAGGTGCAATAAAGATTATAAGAAAGAGCAGCATTTAAATCATATTAATTACACTGCCCGACGTGATTTTTGCTGTTTGAATAAAAGATACCGATATTTCCGATGTATTTTCGCGTGCTGAACAACGAATCCGATAATGAAATTGCTCTATCACGTCAGGTTTGTGAGAAAAGTGAAGTTAAAGATGTCAAAATTGACGTTTTTTGACATATTTGTGATTTTTTTGCTAGCGAAGTAAATTTTTTTTCTACTTTCGTTTACGCCATCTTAAAGTGCCAACTTTTATCTTTAAATAATATATTTAACACCGTACGTTTTTTTCTCACCGAGATAATTTCTGCATAGTCACGCAAAGAAAAACATTCTGTGCCAAAAATATTTTTGAAGAAAAAGTTTTAAGAACTGTGTGATGATTTTAGTAGCAAGGTTTTTAAGGCGATGCTAAAGCTCCCTGTTTTACCACATTTCTATTCGGTGAAAAATCTCTGTATTGGATGTACGGATTGCAAAAGTATTATTACTTAAATTATAGTACGCATCAACAGGACCTCAGCTGCACTGGATTTTATGAGAAAATCGAAAAAAAATTAAAAATTCACTTACTTTTGGCTCGTACAGCTGTCACCTCAGATATGCATTTGCTTGATATAAGAGTTTTAGAGCCCATATCTTGAAAATAAGCGTGCAGCTGAGGTCACATTATTGAAACGAACGATACTGAGTTTGTAGAACTAAGATTGAAAGTCTAGAAAAGCAATATTTCCACCGAATAGAAAATACGTGTATACTGATGCTTTGCGAAGACTCGGACTGTCAACAGAGCCGAAATTCCGCGTAGCAGTAGTTGCGCGGTCTTGCGATAGATGGTGCTGGCATATGTTAGATAAGAACAGACGTATGCGTTTGAGTAAGACAGAATGATATATATTATATAATATAATGTAAAAACTAAATCAAAGATGTCACCACTATTATTGAATTTGGAATTAAAAGAGTCTGTACTATCGACCTTGATTGAGTTGGATAATCGGTTTAGCATCCCCTTAAGGTCACTAAATTCGAACCTGAAGTCTAATTTTCGAAATTCAAAATATGACGAATAAATTTTTTGCGATGACATTGTCGGATTCGTGTTCAGCGCGCGAAAATACATCGGAAATGGTATCTTTTATTCAAACAGCAGAAAAAATGTCTTAAAACGTTGGGCAGTGTTATGTACTCAATATGGCTTAAAATGTGGTATTATGTTTTTTTTTTAATACAAAATGTTAAAGAAATGAAAAATAAAGTGGTCCAATGTTATTTTTATAATGAATTGAATTAATACAATATAAAGTTTTTTAAATTCAATGTAAATATAACGATTGATCTAGCCTTTATTTAAAAAACCGAGAATTTCGGATACTCGGATGCCCGCAACTCGCTGACTCGCGTAAAGACACGCGTGTCTCGCGCTGTGCGCCCACTTGGCGCGAGACATTATCGTGTCTCTTGATGATGTAATGAGGAAAAACCAATATGAGCCACCACTAGTTGTTCGTGTGTAACAAAATATATATTAAAATTAAAATTAAAATACAAACGTTTCAACTCTGGTATTGGGTCATCCTCAGTGTATAAAATATGGTTGGTAGAATCAAAAATTATACATATGTAAGCGCCAGAATCATCAAATCATCGTTAACCTATTTTCACTACTTAAAATCTTCAATTTCATCTGTTATACTTTGTTGAATAAACAAACGGCATATTTTAGAAATCACTAAAATAGAAGAGTCTAAAATAAATTAGTATAGTCAAATTATAATTATAAAATCAAAATCACTAAAAACTTATGTTGGAATCAGATTAACGATAGTCTGTTACATTGCGAAATTATAGAGAGATATCTTTATTGTGTGAGAGTTCAGATCGAAATGACAAAGTGAGTCGACGATAACAAAATAAATATAAAAATAAATATATACAAAAATAAGAATACGTCCATCGAAGTTAAAATCAAGACTTTAAAACATAGAAAATAAAACTCTTAAATAAAAAGTATATGTAATAATATGGCTCTGTTACGTCACGCTATTGAGATTTTCTCCGTTTTTTGAGTCAATGCGTTTAAGCAATTTATCCAGGGATCGGAGATCAAGTTGTGCGATTAAGAATGTTCACTGGGAAGTATCGGATAATTATTCGGAAGGGTAATTTTGAATCCGGTGCCAAAAAGATTACGAAGCTTATAGGCGAATCTACGTGGATCGGCTTTTTGAATGTTCTTGTAATTCGGAAACGTAGGATTGATCTTTAATCGCTTGAGAGTATATACGCGTTCGCGGGATGAGTTTACCGGTTTCTTTTGATCTAATAGCTGCGCTAATTTTTGGAAATAGGAGAAAGAATCGTGATTTGAAATAAGAGCTGATTTTATTTGAAATCTTAATCTCTTCTCTCGCTGTCTTCGTCCGCCTTCAGTAGATATGGAAGTAATGCACAAATAATTATCAATGTTCCGAAGAACTGCCGTGAGACGGGGGCCACGCTATTGGCAACGACAGTCGTAACAGTCCTCTGGATGTGAGACAATTGTGAATACTTCGAGAAAGTGTTATAAGACGGGGGCCACACTATTGGCAGCAACAGTCGTAACAGTCCCTCGGATACTCATTTGTGTGTATGTGAATGTAATTGAATGAGACGCAGAGCAGAGACTTAGGTTCCAGCCGATTTGATACATTCAGTATTTTTGTTTAATAGGAAAAACAGAATAATGAGGAAAGAAAAATATAAGAGTGTGTTTCTAATGAAGCGCGAGGATAGTTCTCACCTTGATCTAATTAATTTCTGTCTATACTGGATAGGTTTCTACTTTTGCTCTATAAATGAATAACTGAATGAATAACTGTTCGACTGAATAACTGAATAAAAGCCGAACGAATAATTGAACTGAACGAATGAAATGACTGACTAAAACTGGATGTATAACTGACTGAATGTATGACTGAACTGAATGTATGACTGAACTAAACTGAATTGAACTCAATGTATTACTGACTAAATATGTAACTGACTTAATATAGGCCAGTCACTTTAGCATTTGAAAAGGAAATAATTGCCAACAGGCTGTTTATTGATTTAAATGCTTTATTTAAGCGTAAATAATATAAGTTTCATTTTGCGTACACGATTTCAGAGCGGAAGATGGTAATATAAGCTAAAAATGGTACGATTTTTCACTTTTTATGCTATATCTACGAAACTATGCAGAAATTAGTAAAAGTCGTTCAATAGTTTTTTTTTCTCTATTTTCGTACGAATAATTTGAGATCAAGTGGAGCTCTGTGCGACAAATCATTTCGGAGATACAGTTGTCCAAAGTTTCAGTAAAAAAGATGAAAAATCGCTTGAAAATGCCCATTTTTTCTATTTTGCCTCCGCAAACGTTTTCGACGTCCCGGACGAGGAAAGTACATACAACATTGTTTAAAGTAAACTTTATGACGAAAAAAATGCGAGTATAAAGAACTCTCTGCGATTGACAGAATCGGAGATATGAAGTTGTGAAGTTGGGTCTAAAAGCGGTTTTTTTATATATCCACTTTTTAACTTATAAATTGCACTTTGCTTACACAGAGATTTTTTGTTCTGAAACAATATCAATTAATATCTACTAACATTCAAGTCGAACAACTACTTGACAAAAGTGTTCATTGAACTACAACGAGATTTTACATTTCCCGCGCGAAACGTTAGCCGTATAACGGTGGCGCAGGAAGATCGTGCCGTACATTATAAAAAGAGGTATTTTCAAAATTGTATGTAAGAAGAAGGTGGTGTTGAGCTCTTATTTGGTACAAGAAAAAATTTCTATGTAAGCAAAGTGCAATTTATAAGTTAAAAAGTGGATATCTAAGAAAAACCGCTTTTAGACCCTACTTCACAACTTCATATCTCCGGTTCTGTTAATCGCAGAGAGCTCTTTATAGTTGCATTTTTTTCGTTATAAAATCTACTTCAAACAATCTTATATGTATTTTCCTCGTCCGAGACCTCGAAAACGGTTGCGGAGGCAAAATCGAAAAAATGGGCATTTTCAAGCGATTTTTCATCTTTTTTACTGAAACTTTGGACAACTGTATCTCCGAAACTATTTGTCGCACAGAGCTCTACTTGGTCTCAAATTATTCGTACGAAAATAGAGAAAAAAACTATTGAACGACTTTTACTAATTTCTGCATAGTTTCGTAGATATAGCATAAAAAGTGAAAAATCGTACCATTTTTAGCTTATATTACCATCTTCCGCTCTGAAATCGTGGACGCAAAATGAAACTTACATTATTTACGTCTAAATAAGGCATTTAAATCAATAAACAGCCTGTTGGCAATTATTTCCTTTTTAGCTCGATTTTTTTACTTTGGGAACTGGCCTAATATGTAACGGACTTAATATAGTATGTAACTGATTGACGACTGCTTTTGGCAGCTCCTTTTATATTTTGGAAATATGAATGTGGGAGTGTCCTTTCAGGACCAATCAATACTCCTCAAAGTTTAATAGGACCTATACTCGCACTTGTTTCCTTAAGATAAGGCAGCAAAGCTCCGCGTAAGCCCTCTACTCCCCACTCTACAGGTTTAATCTTAATAGGTAATAGTTGAGAGAGTTTTAATAATTTATAATAAAAATTCGGTTTTTCTTAACTAACATCCTTATGCGAGGCGAATCTATTACATTATGAATTATATATCTAAAATTGGTTTAATTTTATTGGAAGA